CACTTACTGCCGCTGTACTTGGGCACCCAGCGCACGTTGGTGGGCAGCCCGTTGATGTTGAAGTGCTTCCCGTCGAAGTCGGCGCACTGCTCGTCCCGGAAATCCTTCTTCAGCTTCGAGCACGGCTCCGTGTTGCAGGATTTAAACTTCATGCGACGACCCACGCAGTACTTGCCGCCGTTTTTAGGCCTGCAGATACAAGATGGGGCTGGAAACGGGGTGCAAGAGCGATTCTGCAGTCTGTTCAGCACAGTCAGGCTTCGCGACGCCGCTCGGGTGGCTCTTTGTGCGTGTCTTTAATTAATCATCAAATCATTCAGGTTGGAAAAAACCTCCAAGACATAATATCCCAGGCTGACAAGCAGGAAAGATTATGCAGGTGTCTAAACAAAAAAGATCGTGTACGTGATGCTGAAACAGGATGAGAAAGGGAATATTGAATATTTTCTCTCTATGAATGCAGCGGTAATGAGAGAAGCCAGAGAGGAAGAGCAACATCTTCCTCCCCATCTGAGGATTTAGTTTCACACTGAGGGAACCTGTGTGAGGCCACCTCTCCACAACTCCATCAGTGCTATGGATTTGGAAGCAGAGAGTTTGCATCTGATCTAGTGGTCTGCAGATAACTAAACATCATGCAAAAAGGAGAAAGGGCTTCCTTGTGGAGGCTGAAAGGCCAGGCAGCAGTTAGTTCTTCAGGATTTCTAGCCCAAAATGCTAGAAATGGTAATGTTAGACATGTTTAAACAACCTTAGCTCCATGTATTCCAGAAAGCACCCAAACCAGCCAATAAATACTTTACCCCCATTTTATAGTAGGATGACTCTCGTATAAACTGGGGAGAGTGATATCATCCAAGCCATGTAAGAGCCAGTGGATAAGCCCAGGAGAACCTGTCATTTTGAATTTCCCAACTCCTAGATTAGATTCAGGGCTGTAGTCATAAAACTATTTTTGTCTTTGTATGCAGACAGAGCCTTTGCCAGATAACAGCTCACTTCAGGGGCCAAAAAAGCCTCTCCCACCCCAGCCACTGTCAGCAGTGGTGCGGGAACAAGTTGCACATGGATGGCACTGGAGGAGCTCAGCAGAAGGCACTTTTCTGGTGAGGACTCATTTTCAGCTATGGCAATGCTGCAGGGAAAGTACCCTTGGGATACAAGCTGTCCTATTTACTGTCTGTTCAAAGGACATTTCCTCTAGGAACTTGGGTGAGATGTCATATGCCCGTCTATGTGCAGCCTTCTATGTATATGATAAATAATAAAATAAAGGATGTACTGTGCTTCAAATGTAAAGCAAACAAACAAAACAACACTCTTT